AACATAATGGACTAGGTTCCTCAGATCATATCCAGATATCAGCTTGTGTTTTCGAACAGTTGCTTATGAGGAATAATAACTCAAGTCATGAATTTATTTTTTTTTTTGAAAGTTTGTGATGTCATTTTTTTTTTTTAATTCTCAAGCTTTGGTCATTTTGTGGGTTGGGAACTGAAATGTTTGTTGTAAATTATACACTTTTTAAATTTAGTAAATACATTTTCTTTTCAATAGTTTACACACAAATACTGGTACTTGAAACACGATGGTCACAACATGTAACTCATGCACCAACTCACTGAACCAATTATGCTAAACTGCAAACACAGTTCCTGCTTTACAGTCAAAGTGCATCTAAAACAAACTTTTTCAAAACACTACACACAATTTTCTGCATTTTGCACAATTGTCATGAAGGCACTGTTATTCAAAATTCTAAAAGTAAATGTCCTACTATGCACACTGACTCATCACATGGACAAACACATGTCACACAGTTTTACTATTAACTCTCAGAGTTTTAGCACAAAAGGGCATCAAACAGGTAAGCTCTTCTCTTTTGGAACAATGGACGCCAACGTTGAAAACAGAGGCAGAGCCGGAGGAGTGAGAGTAAGAGGAGGAGGAGTGAGAGTAAGAGGAGGAGGAGTGAGAGTAAGAGGAGGAGGACGAGGAAGGCCAAGGAACATAGGCTCTGAGATCCGATCCACTTTGCCTCCCTCATCGTTAGACCATGGTCAACCAAAGAGTGCAGCTAGGTTTGAGCAGGTACACTGTAGCATCCATCATGCGGACTTTCCAAAATGAGAATAGGTAAGAAATCTACTCTCTCTAGAAAACTGCAGTACCACATATCAATGCAGTACTCAGTGAGTACAGTACTGTCCTTCAGGACTGTAAAAATTTAGGTTTCAAGTATTTGAGAAAGGTATTCCTAGTCTGTATTTCCTACACAGTATTTACAGTATTTAACTTTTTCTGTTGCAGAAGTGAAAGATTATTAATACAAGGTGGACGGGAACATCTTCTGTCTCCTGAACAGGAAACTGAAATCATGAACACGGTCCTAGAACATAACACTGTAACATTACAGGGTGAAATCATGAACACGGTCCTAGAACATAACACTAACATTACAGGGTAAGCTTATTAACGCTGGATCGAGTCTTGCGCTGAAATCTGAGGATGATGCATATTTTTCATTATTTTACAGTAACTGTATGAATGCTTCTGATGTTTTGTATGTAGACCACTGTATGTGCAACTTTGTGTTGATTGGGATGTACAATATAGTTCACTGTGTTCAGTTTTTTTTTTATTTTTTTGTGAGACTAAAGAAACTGTTACTGTATTGTGTGTTTTGAGTATAAAAACAATTTTGTTCAATATTTCAAAACACACTGATATATGTACTGCCAGTAGTAATACTGAATAAAACCGACTTTAGTCATTATGATGACTGGAGTCGAGTGTTTTACATTGAGCACATCAGTGTTTAACTGGTTCTTATAAATGTTTATTCATATAATGTTTTGTGTCATCTGAGAACAAAATACCATTTTGAGAAGAGATATTGTTTTGAATGTAAAGTTTCATTTTGAAGGAGAATTGAGACGTTTTGCCCATTGTGTGTTTTTTGACTTGTGTGTAGTATGAGGCATGCTTTCAGAAAGTGTGTAAACAATTGAGAAAAAACTATAGTTTTTCAGATGATGTTCAGTCAGGTCAACTGGACAGTCTTTCTTTTTCCTTTTTTGCTGAGACGTTTCATCCTTCATCCAAAGGACTTCTTCAATCTGAGGAGCCACAAAAAAAAAAAAAGAGTCCCACAAGCAGCACTCTCCCATAGTAGAAAAAAAAATGCTGATGATAAGATGGCCTGAGGCCCACGTCGACTCCTCTGAGGCAGCCAAAGTGGTTCAAAACACCAAAGTCCATGTTCAGTAATGGAGATAAAAATCCAACAATGTTCAGTCAGGTCATCTGGACGTTTTTTTTTTTTTTTTGGAGACGTTTTGTCCTTCATCCAAAGAACTTCTTCAATCCAAGGAGCCCCAAGCAAACCGTTTTGGCATGGCTGCCTCAGAAGAGTTGATGGGGAAGAGGGGCCCCAGAGGCCATCTTAGCACCAGCAAACTGTTTTGTTTCCACTATGGGAGTGTGCTGCTTGTGGGACTCAGTTTGTTTGTGGCTCATCAGATTGAAGAAGTCCTTTGGATGAAGGATGAAATGTCTCAGCAAAAAAAAAAAAAAAAAGTCTAGATGACCTGACTGACCATTGTTGGATTTTTACTTGGATTATAGATCGTGAACTTTGATGTAATTTATCGGGTTTAAGTTGAATTTTATCTTCCTAAAGCATCAACTTGTAGACGTGACTTGCAGCCTTCTAAGATTCAAGTTTAAAAAATGCAGACGATGCAGAATAAAACCGCTTTTGAAGGTGAAATCCAGCACATTTGTTATTTTGGGCTCTTGCTCTTTGTGGATTTCTGGAAAGAAAAGATTTTATCTACCTTTCTGCAGCCGTTTTGCTCATGCACAAGTCCTAATGACAAACTTTAATCATGAATATAGACTAAACATTCAAATCTGTTTTGAGAGCTAAAGTAAAACTCATTTAACACAGTAGTAGATCCATCTCGATGCTTGGGTAGAAAACAAGATTAAACAACTAAAAGTATAATAAATCTGCTCCAAGGCTTAAATTCACGACAACTTTAGACCAGATTGAGCTGCTAGCTTGTGATCAGATCAGCCAGGAAGCATGTCAGTACCAGGACTCAGTCGGGCCTTTTGATACTCTGAGAAATTTATCTTTTTAACTCTCATAAGGATGATCTGCACAGAGAAACTGAGAAAAGTGCTTAAAAAAGCCCCTTCTATTTTTGGATGGAAGCTTTTATGAATACAACTCTACAAAAGACTCATCTCTGCTATAATAAAACTAATAAAGCTCCTTCAGTAATTTGAGGAAACGCTGACAATCAGTAACTTTAAATCACATGAGCCGTCTTCTGCTGATATCAGTTAACTTCGCCTCAACATTTAACTGTCTTAGACTTATCTAAAAGTGATAACTGGCTTGTGATCAGAAAAGCGGTCTGGTAGCCTCATCAGTCCTTGTGTTAAAAAAAAAAGAAGCAAAATAAAGGATGAAAATTGATTATGTTGCAAAAACACATGTATTCATCTGTAAATCAGGGATCTGAGTTCTTTTAGCAACAGTCCTGACACCACTGATGTATTTTGAGAAGTGCTTCCTCACTCTGCTCTTTTCTCCAGTCACCTACCTGGTCAATCATGGCTGATTATTTCTGAAGGCATCGTTTCTTGTCCACCCTGCACCAACAGCAGAGGTGGGACACACGACACTGAAGAAGGCTGGTTGAGCTGCTCCACAGACTCTGCTCATTTAAAAAAGAGGGAGCATGTCTGCAGAGGTTCATCAGAACACGTCACTTTTTGCCAAGTGGATTGCATCCAATCACATAATGTAGAATTACGAAGGTCTTATACTAAATTTGTCCAAACTTCTGAACAGTCTGGACTTAATTTTAGGTTTGATAAAGTTTTGAGAACATCGTTTGTAGGTTTATAAAAGAAAAAAGCTGAGTTCACGCTGCTTGTTATCTGTGGGACTGCTAAGATATTGTAGAAACTGTGGAATGGACCAGGCGGCAGGTTGTTTGTTGCAGCACTGCTGTGTAAAAAGTTCATAACACCTCAGCCAACATGGTGGACATTTCCTGGTTTAGATTCAAATACCTTTTTACAAAAGTAAAAATATATACATCTTAATGTAAATGGTCTTGATACAACTTGTAACTCAGGTGTTTTCATACAGACTTGGTTCAACACAGCCACACCATATATTTATAAAATGTTATCCTACCTGAACACCAACTTGATGGTGGACTTCAGCTTGTGGAAACAACAAATATCAACTTTTAACTCGTTAAACTACCCAACATTTGACCTCATTTAGTAAACTTATTTGCAAAACCCAAAGGATGTCAGAACTTCCACAGCAGCTGCTCAGTGCTGTCATCTTCTGGTACAGGGAGGTACTGCGACTGCAGGAAATATCTGAGTTAGAACACATTAGTCCTGAAACAAGAACAATCAGATGCAGATTTGTCTTCAGTACTGTGCAGTCTTATCCCGTGGTACTGTGTATTTTAGTGTTTGTGAAAAACGTGCATAAACAAAGTGTTTGTATCAAAAGACAACACTTACAGCTCCATTTATTATAGAACATGCTGAAAAATTTTCACACGAGTCAAGTTTCTCTACAAACGTACGTCCTAGAAAAGGTAACAAAATCATTTTCTTCAGTACCTTTAAAATACTTCCGAGTTTAAAAACTATGAACCGTCAGCACCCCGTTGACGCTGGACTCATGTCTGATTGTGCAAACTAAAACTGGACCAAAAAAGGTTTCAGGCACTTCAGATGGCACACAGTTCAGATTAATTAGATGTAAATACAGTTTGAAATGGATCATCTAATTTTACAGATGGATCAACATATATATTTAAAAAAACAACATATTGCACAACTTTGTTACAGTAAACACTGTTGGCACAGACGCCTGGTAGCATCTAAACAAAGAACAAGCACACAAATAGAAATATGTTCAACAGTTTAACCTCGTATATTTAAGGTAACCAAATAAAGCATCGCCCTTTTATTTGTTCACAAAAAAAAAATAACATCTTTAAAATGAGTAAGACAAACAATTCCCCTGATGTAATCCAGTAATGAAACATTTACTGAAATTGTATTTCCACGAGCTGCTGGTGTCAAACTGAGACTAGATAAACGCATTAATGCTTCTGCCTCGAGCTTCGCAGGTGCGATTTGAAATTGAGGATAAAAATTCCCAGCTGGTGGTAAGACAACTCGTCCGGAGTCAAAGTACTGAGATATGACGAGGCTTCACTAAGATTGTCATTTACTACCAAGAACACATGAATCCTGAAAGCTGTTTCTGCCCGTCTGTGACCTGCTTCCACCTGGACTCTGAAAACGCTCGGGTCATAACAAACTTCAGCTCTCTGACCTCGGTGCATTTGAGGGGATTGATGAAGATGGTTCATTAGCATCTGTTGGTGAAACTACTACTCCGTTATCTTTAGTTTTGAAATAAATTATATAAAATATGGGCAAGACAATACCTATCAGGAGCATAGCAACTACAGCGTTCCACCACTGGATCCCCCAGTCGGCTCCGTTCCCTTTTGGACGCCGCTGTCGGAAACCAAACCCTTGAGGTTTCTCAGAGTTCTTCAGGAAAGCCTCATCGTGTTCAGATGTCAGAATCAGTTTGTCGATCTCACTATCCACCTCCATGAGAAAGTCTGTGACCTCCTGCAGGTGTGGCTGACCTCGAGCTCGGTCGTGAGGCCTCCCAGGTGACGGAGGTGAACAAGGCTCGTCCTCTGGAGGGTGATGCAGGTCTGAGAACGTTTCTCTCAATAAACTGTGCTTCTGAACTGGGATTTTGATATATTTGAGTGCAAAAAGATCTTGATCCTGTATGAGGTTGTTTATCTGCTTTAAATCAGCCACCTGTGGACAGAAACAGGATTTGTTGCATGATAATTACAAAGAAAAGCTTTAGTTTTACATATATATATATATATATACATATATATTTTACCTTACAGCCATATTGTAGTGCAAGCTTGTTGAGATTATCACCATCTAAAACCTTGCGCTCGAGCAGCTGGACATTCCTCAGTTTGTCTTGATTCATCTGCCTCGTCTCCAAAACACTGAGATCCTCGTCGTCCGAGGACAGAGCTAACTCGTTGGGTCTCCTCCGGAACATGTACACCTGGCCGTCTGCGCTGGCGTGAACATCGACAGGGGCCTGGAAAGCCTGTGGACCATGCTCCCCCCGCCACATGACGACACACCAACCTGTAAATATATTTCTCAGCTGTATCAATACAAAGTAGCTAAAACTTATTTTCCCGCACTTTTAAATATTACCTAATGCGTTTGAGTTCACTCTGATGGAACAAACAATATACATAAGACATGACTTTCATTTCAACAGAGATCCAAACGGTGTGCAGACAGAAGCAGCTCGAGTACCTGTCGATACATAATGCAAAGCTAAAGGCAGCACACACATCCTGTACAAATATAATATACCTTTTCCTACATATATTTAGAACAAATATAAATTAATGGGTCAAGAAAAATCATCTAGTTTAAAAATAAACACACCATTAGTTAATTTTTTTCTTGTTCCTCATATTAACAGCCTTTTCATTTATTTCTTCTTGGATATAAAACTGATCACAATCGAGTAAAAACAATAAAAATAATCACATGCTACTAATTAACACAGCTAAAAATATATAAAAAATACACACGAAAAGTACAATTAAGCAGACTCTGTTGCTCTGATGTAAAACAATTCAAGTCAGATGCACCTTGTCTACAAGTGTAGAATAGTTTGATGGGTCATATTTAGTGCTGCTCTTTCTATGTCAAAATACAAACGTGTTGAAAAAATTAAAACTTCCTGTGTAGTACTAAAGTTAGAGAAGTCTGCCTTAAAGGTTTTAAAAGCAAAAGTATGCTGGTGAAGATTCTCAGTCATCCAGGGCATGATAAATCCAAAAATAGGTGAAAGACAAAAACACCAGGACTTTATTTTGTAGCTGAAGACGTTTCTTTCTTAGTTCTGACTGAATTCTCAACCGAGAAAGCTCCTCGGATGAGAAGCGAAACGTCTTCAGCTACAAAATAAAGTCCTGGTGTTTTTGTCTTTCACCTTTTTGTTTGGATTAAAGCAAAGTAAGAAGTGATAAAGATCCAAGTCTGTCTCAGGTTGGTGGGCCTATTATAACATTTAAAAATGTTATCGGGCCAGAAAAAATGTTAATGAAGGCCAGATCTGGCCTGAGGGCCTTAAGTTTAACACACGCGCGTTAATACTTAAATGTCGTCATGTAACTACATTGTTTTAATACTACTTTCTTTTATTTATATGATCTTTTTTAACTATCTACTGTTGTCATTCCTTATTAAAATCAGGTCTCTCTTGTAAATGAGTCCCAGAGGCTCAGAGAGACTAACCTGTATAAATAAAGGTTGAATGGAATATGTGATTCATATCACATAATTAGGTGGGATTCAGATTAAAAATATGATTGACAGATATAAGTCTCACACCCTTGCATTCATAAAATAGCTCGATCAGACAATATTCGTTCAGTTGTTTACAAAAGGACTTGTTGTTGCTGTCATGCCAGCTGACATTGCAATAAGTTTAGTTTCTATGAAAGCTAAAGAGCACTAAACACTGACAGCACCATAACCACAACTTTTCTTACACATAACGCTCGTATTTCAATTTAAAGATTACATTTCTTTCTTATAAACTTAGGTCGCGCCACCTCCTGAAATTCAACCAGCTAGCCACAGTTACATCCAACTTTTCCTTTTACGAAACAACTTAACATTTAAAACAGATACACATTGAACTCCAAACTGTACAGCTCATGTCTTGTGATATATTAGGTACATAAAGCTGTCATAACACAGGTGAAGTCCTCTTTATTAATTTATTTATTGTTAAAGGGAAGCGATAGGAGCTCACACTGACCGAGCACTTGAACGCAGCATTAAAGTTCAGCTTTAGCTTTTTCTTGTCGTTCGGGAGCGTGTGCGGTTCAAACTGTTTTATTTCTGCTACAGCTGGTTAATTTGTTCAAGACCCACACACTGAAACTTACACTGAGGTGTTTCCTGTTATTACCTTATGCTTTGGCAACAGTAAAAGAAGCCACCGCCTTCCACAACCTGCTCTCCTCAGCTGGACCTTGTTAGCTTAATGCTACCGGCTGTTAGCTCACTTCTTCGTCGCGCGCTGGAAGAAGAAAATGCGCCACAGCGCCCCCTGCTGTTCAACAGGGCGACTGCACTTCACAAGATAAATCTCTGCTCCTGGAAAAATACATTCATATAAAGCTAAATATGAACAATAATGCTTATTCATTGTGTGCTACTTTATGGTGTGTAATGTGTGCTACGTTATTTCCTTAAATCTGTAATATTTGGACATTATTCCCCTTTCTCCTCCAACATTCAAAAAAATTTAATTAAACCGGTGTCTAAATTTAAACGAGACGCTCGGATCTGCGAGTTCAATTTCAGTTTGCATCGACGCCATGTTTGTTAATTCTTTATTATTAATTTTTTGTAATTTCCTTCATGAGATGAGCCATCAAATGTAACGGAATGTAACATGAAACACTTTTTTTAATTGTAAAGGTCTCCTTTATTTTTTAAATCAGGGGTGCCCAGACTTTTTCAGCATGATCTTCTTTTAAAATGACCAAGTCCAAGTGATCTACTATAAAAATACAAAATATATACTTATTTATAAACATATTAAGTATGCTTCATTTGTTTTACGTTCTTGTTTTTAGTATTTTACCTGGTTTTATATGGCACCTTGATTTATTGTTTTCTAACACTACTATTATTTTAATTGCATCTTACTGTAGTTTATTGTTGTCTGTGCTTTATATGTTGTCTAAAACAGCTTTCTCGTAAATGAATCCTCGTGACATAGTGAGACTAACCCGTATAAATAAAGCTTGAACAAATGGTGATTATATCATCATGTTCAGATCACATGCTAAAGTAAAATCAGCAACCATCACAAGTACATTACAAAAAGCTATTACAATTTTCTTCTTACACATATCTAAGCCACCACAATTTTAAGGTGGAGTCAAATTGATAAACTCTTAAAAGTGATAAATATTATCTCTTTAAAGTGTTATGGTCTAATTACTCCTGTCTGACAGAGATGCATTTCATCAAAGTCAGCGAAGCACTGGAATAGGCTTTTCTGCTCTTGTTCACCCACAACAACTTACTAAGACTTAGAATCTGTAAGTTTACAATCAGCATGGCTAATTCACCGATGAAAGAAACTCACAGCAAGCGATAAACTTTTAGTGTGCGCCACACAAACAGCAAGAAACTTTAAATAAACTATAGGAACACGTGTAAATTTCAGCAAAACAGGCGGTATAGATAAAACGCCTGAAAACATCAGCTCAGCTGAGATGTACACAGTGTTGGATATTGGTGATTATCTCACAAACTTAGAGAAAATGTGCAATTTCTAAAATAATTATTTTGTTATTTTCAACAAAAAAAAAGAAGCCAAAACATAATTCACAACTAGGCAATCACAAAAGTCCCCTCCTTCCCTCTGACTTTATTCATTGTTGATCTGCAGTTCTCTCATTTTCCACTAGGTGGGGGTGTTGTTCTTTCCAATGACTTTTCATCAAAACACGTTAATAAAAAGATTGTTTTACTTGAAAAGAACAAAACATAGATTTTATTTACTCTGTTGTCAATTAATATTGCTAACACGTGTTTGTTTGTTGCTTGTTGATCACCAAACAAACTTTGATTTTCAGATTAGATGACACTTTGTGGTTAACGTAGTGGACTTTGGTATTACATTTACATGCACTTCTATGCAGATTTTAATAACAGTCAGTTTTTAAACGGCCCATTCCAACATTGTAATAAAATATAGTTATAAAGGATTTGATATTGAGGATTATAATGTTCCGTTATGTTTACAGTTTACACATCTTTCCTTATAAAACTTCACATTAAACTTAACAAGTGATTATAAGATGTGGGCCATTTAAAAATTCATTCTTTTTTTTCAATAATGTTTGATCTTTTAGTAAATAAGTGACTGGATAGCTTTGTACTGGTCGCATTAAATACACCATGCTAATATTTTTTGCATTAGTCCCACATAAAAACTTCCAAGACGAGGCTCAGTTGATAAAGATGCAGCTACAAACAGCAGTTCTCACTGCAGCAAAATAATGATAAACAAGTTCTGTTTAACACTAAAATTATAAAAGCAGTTTGTTGATCAATTTTTTTTTTCTAAAAGGCCTCAAATGAAGTTAAATAAATAAAAAAATGTTTGTTCTGAACACGACAGACACATTTTATTTTCATACAAATGACTACAGATTACAAAAACCCAGGATTAAACAGAAAAGAAGCTTAAGTTTGTCAGCCTGACAGTGTTGTCTGTTTTCTTTTGTACACCGTTCTACATTATTTTAGAGTATGAAGTGGTATTTTGCTGAATGGTTTCCACTTCATGATCTTTAATACATCAGAGAAGTGGTTCCCTGCTGAGTTAGCCCAAAGGTTCACCTCCGATATTAAGACAAGCTCAACACACGCACCACGCCGCTCCACTCTCATACTGCTTTATGTGAAAGCTGATTACTTTTCTGCATTCAGCTCACAGAGGTGTCCCTCCTTGTTTGTCTTCAATAATGTAAACCCAAGATTCATATGTTCCATGTCATTTTTATATTTGACCATCTTATGGAGCTGGCTGTCTTTTTCTCCATCTCTGGGCAGCTTGAATTACACATTCCAGTGCTGCTGAGCACCGTGTGCTTCAACACTTTAAAAAAAAATTCTAAAGGTAATTAACTTAGAACTACACAAGGTGTGAGTTAATGGAGGTTAATTAGACCGAGACTTTGAAACGATAACTTTAAATATTGAAAACTTTATTAAAGCCATATAATTGCCCACAGAACATGATATTCAAACCCCTGTGGCTCATTCAGCTCCGTCACGAGATTTACAATCTCAAACACACGGTGCAAAAGAGTGACAGAAACTGTCTGGATTTGTGTTTAATACGGTCCTTAAACCATACGTATAGGCACTTTTCTTGGAAAAATAAGTGGATCAAACAAAACTGAACCAAATGATTAAAAAGTTGCATGACACGACTATCGGGCAAAAGTCCAGACAGTTCCTACAGAACTGGACTGAGGTGAGTTGATCAGAATGGCACGCTGTATTTTTTACAAGTACCTTAATTTTCATAAAGTTCAGTTATTTGGGACATAGTTGCCATTTTGCCATGATAGCGAAAGAAAAACACAAATTATAAAGAGAGTGGTGTGCTTGACTCAAATATCACTTACCGTATTTTCTGGCCTATAAGTCGCATCAGTCCAAAAATCAATCAGTCCGTACGTCCGTCCGTCTGTCCGTCTGTCCATCCATCCATCCATCCATCCATCCATCCATCCATCACCTTTTACCCGCTTCTTCCATTATGGGTCACGGGGGTCACCGGTGTCCATGTCCAGCAATCACTGTGTGATGGGCGGCGTACACCCTGGACAGGTCTCCAGTCCATCACAGAGAAACATGGAGACAAACGAGACAACCATTCACTCTATCACTAACACCTAGGGACAATTTAGAGTTACCAATCGGTCTAACATGCATGTTTTTGGTCTGTGGGAGGAAACCGGAGTACACGGAGAAAACTCACGCATGCACGGAGAGAACATGCAAACTCCACCCAGAAAGGCACCCAGACCGGGATTCGAACCAGGGACCTGCTCACTGAGAGGCAGCAGCTCTACCAGTTGCGCCACCGTGCTGCCCCAGTCCTAAAATGTCTAATAATTTGAAAAAAATAATAAATAAGTCGCTTCGCTATAGAAGTCACATCTATTATGTGTCACCACTGATGCGTCGTGTTTTACGCATCACCGCTGACAACCCGGAAATGTGGGCCGGTGTTGTGCCAAAAATCGATTAGCTGCCAGATGGCAGCCATGGGAGTGTGCATGGGAAGACTTTAACAATAATTTAACAAGATGAACACTTAAAAACAATTATTTGTTTGCTAGAAATTATAGCAAACTTTCAATATAACTTTTCCTTAATAAATGCTCTTTGATGGTCAAATCAGCTGCATTTCAAAAGCTGATTGCGGAAGCACACAGACGACTCACTGTGCATTTCTTCAAAATTTAACAAGATAAACACCTAAAAACAATTATTTGTTTGCTCGACTTTATAGTAAAAGTGTGTCTCAGTTGAACTTTTACTTAATCAATGCACTTCAATGGTCAAATTAGCTACGGGGCGGCGCAGCGAAATGAAGCTGATTTGACATTTGCTCCAGGCAAGCTGGACAAAGGTGGCAGTCTATGGCAAGTGGATTGTGTCATTAATAGCCACTTTTACCTATTACATGACCCAGTGGCATGACATACAACTCTAATGCCACCTAGTGGCTGAAAATGGTAGTGCTCAATATTTTCAGTGTCAGAATGAATGAGAACGATCATATCTCTGCCAAACATTGGTTTATAAATATGGGGAAAACATCTATAATAAGTCGCTTTGGCGTATAAGTCACAGGGTATGCAAATTAGGCAAAAATGTGTGATTATAAGCTGGAAAATACAGTATATGTTTGGACAAAAGCGGCAGCCAATATTCAGGAAAAGTTTTACAAGTAAACAAACAAAAATAAACAATATAAACAAACCTTAAAGCTAGATTGATCTAATCCAACGTGTAAAATTTCTTCCAGAATACTTGTCCTTGGTCTTCCTAAAAGTTTAACAGTAAATAAATGCATTATAACATGAAAGTGTGATTTAGAAGTTATGTTTCATCCATCCAACCATTGTTTTTTATTAAATGGTGTTTAGGTCACAAATCACAGGGCCACACTGAGATGAACAAGACAGACAACTGTCACGCTCCCATTCACACCAAACAACAATTCAGAGTTGCTAATTAAACTAACATGCATGTTTTTGGTCTGTGGGAGGGAGCTGAGTCCAGAAAAAGCCACGTGTGTTTGGGGAGAACACTCTAACTCCACTCGGAGAGGACCCAGGTGGGAGTTAAACCTGTCATTTTCTTGCTGCGAGGCGACAGTGCTAACCAGCTGTGTCTCCATGTGTTTCTGATGACCTGTCCAGGGTGTACCTC